GCTTTACACAATTGATGTGTGTATGGATTGTGATAAAGAGTTGTATGAGCCCCTAATAAAATGTTTAAAAATTTAAAAAAGTCCTGATTTTTGGAAAGTGCACGACAAGCTAGGGTATACAGTTTTCAGCTGCCATGTGGCTATTTTACCAGGATATGAGTTTTATCAATGGTGTCCCGCTTTACCAATGTTAAAATCTGGTCACCTTATCTAGGCTCTTGTATAACTTGCCTGTGTGGGACCCAATGCTGGTGTGACAATCTCTGAAAGTCCATGCATCGACTGACCACTTGGAAGCCAGAGGCCAAGCAGCCGGAGGGGTGTCGCCATTAGGTCTTACCTGGTGTGCCCACCAGACCATCAAGTAGGAGAACACCGCAATCCAGGAGATGGCGCCGAAGAACGTGATAGGAAAGAACTTCTTCATGGACTGCAAGAGAGCCAGGCACAGTTATTTAAAACCATTCATGTAGCTATTTCTCCTCCACTTCTCCCGCACTCTTGGTAGACTTGTGGTCATGTCTTGGGCTGCGATCCCCTGGTCCACAGTTCGAAACCCCCAGCAGCTCCGAGGGAGAAAGAATGGGATTTCTTCTCTCGTACACAGCTACTGTCTCAGAAACCCACAGGGGCTGACTACGAGTCAACATCGACTCGATAGCCGTGAGAGTTTGTCGGACCTGCCCATCAAAACACGCTCCATGCTGCCCCTGGGTCAAGCTGGGACAATGAGTCTCCCTGGGGAATATGAACATGGTTGGTCTGGAATCACCACAAAGCTGGCTCCCTAAGGTGGAGGTCTCTCGAAGGGAAGGCCTGCGAGTCCCTACTGCTAGGTTCTCAGATTCCCCTTCCATCTGCTCCTCATGCCGGGTTTTCTCTCCTTCTCTTGCTCTCTTGCCTTGTGCTCAAGTTCATTAGAATCAGGTTCTGTTGCTCGCCCCCCACGTATCCTGAAATGACACATGCCAGAAAACCCATGGGATCGATTACATTCAGCAGTAACCAAGAAGGCTCATAGGCTTAAAAATAAATTGGCTGCTTTTACAACCGTCTCTAGATTCACGAGTCCTAGCAGCCTAGTGGACGCTTGAACCGCACATGTTGGCCAAGGCAGAGGGGCCCCATCACCCTGATCTCCACGGGGTGGCAGAGAGGATGATTGTCTATGTCCTCCATCCTTAACGAGATTATATCCAATTCTGCTTGGAGCACTGGGAGTAAGTGCAAGCTCAGGCCGACGGGTCTAGCACATAGGGAGTTTTCTTCCAAGATCAGCCCAAACCACTCTTAAAGTGCAGTGCTTCTTACCTGACCCCGTTAAGGTAAGCCCAGGCTTGCACAGCAGTGGCATTCTGGGATGTCATTTTTTAGCAAATAGGGGTCCTTTAAAACATGCTCAGGCAGCAGAAGGCTGTCCGAGAGCCTCTCACTATTATTGTCAAATGCTTTTGACGGCGAAACTCTCCACACTGAGAAGCAAGCTCCTTTCTGCCTTGATAATGCCATCCAATTTTGTCCAGAGAAATGGCTCCTGGAGTCGGGTTGGGGGGAAGCTCTCTCAATTTTCGGAAGGGCTGGCCTTGGGCAGTCATGTGGAACCCTTTGTGCCTTGGCTTTTGAGAGCTTCATTCAAAGGGAAAGAGATGCGTCCACAGTAACCTTTTGAAGATCTAGAATGAGGGGCACGATCAACACGGCCTCTATCCGTCCACACCAGGCGTGTGTTCTTGTTACTAATTTCAATACATGCTTTTGTTCTCACTCCCGCGGTTCTGTTAAGTTTCACAATAACCATTTTCTCTTTCAACAATTGCTGCATTTTTGGGGGGGCTTGGGGGAAGAGTCCATTCATTAGCAGGGGTGCCTGAGGATCGAGTGGGCATGCTGAAATTGGGGGAGGGCAGCAGGCCACAGGGAGAAGCCAAAACCTCGCTCTGAAATGCCGTCTCCATCCTTCTACTCTCTAAAATACAAACAAGCCCCTTCTCCCCCAAACAAAAACCAGCTGTTGGGGGGTCACCTTTGACTCACGGTGTCACCATGTGTACGGGGGTAGACCTGTGCTCCACAGGGTTTCAGTGGTAGACCCCCCCCACCCCAGTGATAGATGGTCAGACTTTTATTCGGAGGGAACTCCCAGTTAGCAGCCAAGCAAGGACCCCATTCGAGGGGAGACACTGTGCCCAAAGAGCTGGACCTTCATACCTGAAAGCAAATGCCTGCAATGCAGGGAGTTCAGCTGGATGCTGGAGAAGAAATTCTACAAGCCTTGGAATCACCAGTGCTAAGAGATCAGATCTAAGTTTTTCAGGCATTTAGCTGGTTAGAGTTTCTGTCTCCATGCCCCCCAACCTTGCCACTGTTTCAGGGTGCTAACTGATGGCAAGGACTTGGTGTCCCAAAGCTATGCTCTGCTGGAGTCCCTGGGTGGCACCCAGGTCATAAGCTCAGCTACTCAACGAGATGTGGAAGGCTTAAGTCCACCCAGAAGTGCCTCCAGAAAAAGGCCACCCCTCCATTGCCCCCAGACTAAAAAATAAAACATAAATCAGTCACTGAAAAACGCCCTGGAGCCCAGTTCTCCTTTGACACACACAAGTCACCATGAGTCAAAGTTGACTGACAACCATCGTTATTGGTCTCTGCGCTCTGTGATGGATGTGAGAAGGTGTGGGGCCACCCAGCCATCTGAGCAGCAGCCAGTTTGTTCCAATCCACTCTGACTGTTCCAGGAAGCAGTGGAGAGTGGTAGGCATTGGCTGTGGCAGGCTTAGGCTGGGATGCCCTCTTGCAGAGGTGTCCTTTCACGGGGATGCCTCTCCTTCCAGGTTCGTTCATTTACTACATGTGGCATCGACTGTGACATTTTGTACCTTTGCATGTCTGTGTGTTGAGGTAATGCCACACTTCAGATGCAAATCCCTAGAAAATATTTTCTATCTGAAAAATAGCATCACTGAGCTATAGAATAGGGTGAGTCAAAAGATAGAAAGGCAGGAACCAGAACTAAGACAGTCATGGAGTGATAATCAAATGCACACGTTAGCGATCATGTCTCTAATTCCAATTTGAGCCTCATGAGTCTGAATCAAGGAGCCAATTAGTAATACATGGGCATTTGACTGCATCTCACATATTAAGGGCTCAATAAAAAGGTTGAAAACTAGTTTTCTTTGTTAATTGTCAAGGTCTTAATCCTACATGAGGGTCAGGAAGAAGCCGAGCACCTGCTCTGTATGCAAATCTTGAACGAAAGATGAAATTCAAACCCAGGTCTGCCTGACTGTACATCATGTAACCTAACAACTCAGTTAGACTGATTTGTTCCTTAAAATACCTGGGCAATAATGCTCGGATATTTCCAGTCACAGGCACAATGATCAGTGTCATTATACTTCCATGCTCTGCTCTGACTGTCAGAAATGGAAGACATCGTGAGGGAAACAGAGGCAAGCATCCCAGCTGTACAGCCACACCCGGCCTTCCTCATCCTTCCTGCTTGGAACAATCAACTCTTTTCACATCAGGAGTTAAATTCAGGGTCTCCCCACTGTCAGACCACCTTACCACTTCCAACCTCACAGCCCCCACCAAAGAAGCCCATCTTCCTTACCTTCTTTCTGAGACTCTTAATTTGAACACCAGGGCCTCGTTCCAGCCATGGCTGCCCACTAGCCACTGTACTAGTTATTTCATTCCCAGCATCATCAGAAAGAAAAATCATGCAATTTGTGGTTCAAAAGGGTGGCTCACCCTGAGATCTGCTGGGAGAGGCCTGATATTACTTAGTAGACAAGCACGCCATGTGGTCCATGGGCCAGCCATTTTACTCCCCATGGAATGGTTTACTTGTGTTATTTGATGGTGAACGTTCTCATTAGAAAGCTTTCGGAACACCAGCGTGGTATTTGCTTGTCTTGAAAAAGTTGCTGGTTGTGCAAACTGGGTGTATCCTAAACCGGTTCAAATCCAACAAATGTTCACTGTGCAAGGCTTTGGGGCATTCCTATTTTGTCAATTTTCCAAAGCGACTTGAGAGAGGAATGGTGCAGTTTCTGGGCTGCTAGGACCTGGAGCTAGATCGTTGCCCACCAATGAGCCCCGACGCACCTTTATGCAAATGATTCTATCTCTCTGCAGCTCCATTCTGTAACTGTAAAAGGGGGGCATGACAACAGCTCGTGGTTCCGGGAAGTTGACATTCACTAGGCGTCTAGCAAAGTGCTCAGCCCATCAGTGCTCAATTGAGAACAGCAGCTTTTGCTCAGGAGTCACTAGGCAGCGCACCAATTAAGCACTTGGCTCTTAATCAAAAGGTTGGTGGTTTGAATCCACCAGCTGCTCTGCAGGAGAACGATAAGGTATTAGGCTTCGATGAAGATTACAGCCTTGGAAACCATAAGGGGCAGATTTACTCTGTCCTAGAGGGTCACTGAGTTGGAATAGACTTGGTGGCCACGTGTTTGTTTTAGGTTTAGTCTGCTTAAGACAGCCATGCACTCAAACATGCTAATGCCCATGTAGGTAGCGCAGAGCTGGGCCATGAGTTGGAATTGGCAACTGACAACCACAAGGTTTGCTGTCCCACTGAGCCAGCCCCACCTCTGCCAACCATCCCGCAGCCATCTGAGTGAGCCCCGCGGGCCAGTAGAAGAACCATCTGGCTGAGTCCAGCCCCAATTGCTGATGCCCTCAAAAATGCTCTTGTTGTAAGTCAGTGAGTTTTGGGGTAGTATGTTACACCACGTAAGACATATAATGCCAGATCAAACGTAATGAAACGATTCTCGGTTACGCTTCATCAGGAAGCCACCTATGGACTTTTGTATTGGCTGGAATGGTCTTCTTCATTTTGCATTGGCAAAGGATGAACGCAGAATTGATCTTCCAAACTAGAATGCTTTCCGAGCAAGCTGGCACCAGGCTAGGCAAACTGGCATGCACGGTCATCTTACATAGCAGCTACCAGCTGCTCGGTGAGAGAAAGATGGGGCTGTCTACTCCCAGCAAGAGGCGCAGTCTCAGAGACCTCCTGGGGCGGTTCCACCCTGTCCTAGAGTGTCGTTGTGAGTCGCCATTGACTCGATGGCAGGTTTGTTGTTGTGGCTGAGCTTCTTGATGGTTCTCTCTTCATTTCTATTTTCTTTAATCCTAACATACCACCGCGGATGCAGAATTTCCAACACCCAGGGTTGAGACGTGCCTTTCCCCAGGTTGTCCAGCCCCAGGGTGGTGAGGGAAGAACCACACTGAATTCTGTGGAAGAGTGAAAATGCTCTGGAATATGGAGACTTGGGTTCAAGGCAATCTTCTGTCACTAATATACCTGTTTAATTTTGCCCTGTAGTTACACAAAAATACGGAAAACAGCAACCACCCAAACTCATTGCCACGGAATCAATTCTGACCCATAGTGACCTCACAGGACAGAGTAGAACTGCCTCTTCAGGGTTTCCAAGGTTGTCGGTCTTTAGGGAGCAGAAAGCTTCACCTTTCTGCCCTCACAGCACCTGGTGGCTTTGAACCGCTGACCTGGTGGTTAGCATCTCAACACAAAATCACCTATGCCACTAGAACTTCTTGCAGAAATACGACATATGACACAGGACATAACCACCTATGAGGGAGTTTCAAAAAGTTCATGGAAGAGTGGAGTGAAAAGATAAAGGAATTTTTCCACGAGCTTTTTGAAGCTACCTTGTATGTGGGTATTTCCTTTACTACATGTAGAACTACTTGAAGAGAGACATGCTGAGTTCTGTGGCTTCGTACGTCTCAAGGGCCCCTAGCACAATGCTTGGCATGTAATACGTGCTCGATAAATATTTGCTGAGGAATTTGCAAAACTACCACCTGGGAGTTGGTTTGGAATCTCTGCTTGGACTAGTTCATGGTATACTCAGGAAAGGACAAACACATCCAGTCCAGCAGGGGTGGTGTCTGCGGGCAGCAGTGCAGGGCGAGTCAGGGGCACTTCTAGCTTATGCTCCAGGGCCAGGGGCTTACAGGTGCACTGTCTAGTGAATGGGCAAGGAGGCAATGGTCCTACAGAGGAGACCACCATAACCAGCTCTGTCTTCCCGCTTCGCACTTCTCCGGAGAGAAACATCAGCCGGAGTGGCGCTCAGTGAGTTTGTTTTCAGGAGCTCTTGGTTGGGAACCTTCGGTCTTCCCGTTGATCTTTCCAACTTTCCCTCCTGGACCTCTCCACTCAGCTGCCCAAGAGGATGTGCACTTTGCTAGCCCTTGGATTAAGTCCTACCCAACTCTGATAGGCCTGGGCTTTGAGTTCCTGGCCTCTTCCTCCCATTCCTGCACGTTACCTGGATCACTGTCCGTGGCTTCCCCGAAACCTACAGCCACATTACTGGATGTGAGATTTTCCTCCCATAGCTTTTCTGAAATGTTCTCTCTCTGTCTTTCCCTCTCTCTGTCTGTGTCTCTCTCTCTCTGCATTGCTTTGCTATTTAGCCTAATTTTTTGCTTAGTCTAAGGAAGATAAGCTGGGAGGCAGATGTGGTTTTCTGAATCCCTGCACGGTGTGGCCCAGGGTAGAGGAGGGTTGACTGACTAATAAGAGGAGGTCGACACGCAGCCACAGACAGGGATCCAGATAATGTTAGTTCAAGGGCTAGCAAAGGGCTCTTGAGTTGAGAAACCGACTGCATCTTGGATAGAGAAGCCTAGATGTTGCTTGAATGAGGCTAACTGGTTGCGTGCATCCTTTACGTAGACCTCCAATGCTGAGGTTCCTAAACAAGGGGGCTCTTTCCTAGCCTGCTCTTGACAAGGCACTGCTCTCTCCCAGACTGGCTTGTTTCCAGGCCAGGCCAATGGGACACCTGTTTATTCAGTCTTTTTCCATTGAGGAAAGTGGGATCATCCAGGGATTTGTGAAGATTTGGGAATTAAGTGAAACGTTACCACGTTATTCAATCCCAAATACTGACAGAAATGAGTTTTCAGGTATCTACTTTCAGGCAGCATGGGCCATGGGAAGGAGCCCACGCTGTGCCGTGTCAGCCCTGCATCTGAAACCTCAACTCTGTGCCCTGACAAATGACCAAACGGAGTCTGCTCCCTTTGTCGTGCTTACGGCTCTCTGTACCTGTGCTACCAATCATTTCTACCTTAGGCATTTGCTGACATACAGCTTACAGGAATTACCCGGGGGAGAGTCGGATGCATACTGCATGTACATTCCTGCTGGCTGTGTACGTCATGTCTGCCCATAGTAAAAAGGTGCGCTGACTCTGCTCTTTCATTAATTCTTTCATTTCCTGAGGCAACGGCCCATGAACTCCACTGAGCAGCACTTTTGATTTGGTCTAAATTTAGGCTGTCGTTTGCTCTTCATAGGCTGGGTCTGTGCCCATAGCATCCAGTATGTGGTCATGGTGGATAATCATATCCGTTATAATGACGATGAACCAAACCGGAAGAACAAGCGCAAACATGAGAAGCATTTGCATGACACGAACCTAGCTCTTCAAATTAACTTCTGGCTTGAATAACTGATCCAGGAACTTGGCTACAAGAATGTTCAACAACAAAAAGCAGTTGGCCTCCTCCTGCCTCTCCCCATTCCTCTTTCCAGAGACAATCACAATGGTGGTTTCCAAACCTGGTTGGGAATCTCTTGATACTTCTATCATCAAGAGTGTCATCTACTCCGGGAGATGGATACCTGTTAGGTGAACTTTTGGTCTCCTCTCTTTGACTCAGCATGGCTGTAGGACTGCTTTGGCCAGTCGAGTTGGGGGGAAGGGGCTCCACGTGGCTTCTGAGAATAGGTCGTTGATGACCAGGCCGTTTCTTCATTTGACAGTCCCTTCCCTGTCCCTGCTCACACAAACAGAAGCAGACGGTGTGCACTGCTGAGCACTGCTCTTTGTGTGTGTGTGTGCGTGCAAGAAAGCTTTATATACAAGAGCAATTCAATATTGAGAAAACATCCCAGCCCAGTTCAGATTAAGTCCCTAAATCCGATATTAGCCCATATGTCCGATATCAATCTATAAGTTCCTCTTCAGTCTCACGCAATGCTTGTAACGACACTGAATGCAGGAAGATCACTGGCCAGGGGGCTGGAAAGTCTTGTGGATTCAGCAGTGGTCTAGACATCTCAGCGCTGGTGGGGGTCTCCACGTGGCTCCTCCGGCTTCAGGGCTCTCGCTGCCGTCAACATCGCCCCGTGGGTCTTGTCAGTAGAGAATATCCCAGGGAGTGAGTGTGTGTCCTGTCTCCGGGGAACTATTTATCTCCTGAGCGTCTCCAAAGGAGGTGATCAGGTGCGACCTGATTGACAAACTAAACTCCACTCGTTCACTCAAAAGTCTCAGATCGACAACAGATTATGTAACCACCACACTCCTTTTCAGGGGGACTGAATTTTGTTTTGTTCTGCTTTGATAGAAACAACAGGTTCCCATACTGCCAGGGAGCAAGCAAGGCGCGCTGCTCTTAGTACAGCAAACCTACTTTAGGAAGAAAGGCCGTACTCACAGGTTTGCGAACATCCGGTAGGGTGATCCAGAGAGGGAACACGATGGGGAGGACGATCAGGAACGTGACTTGCTTGCGGGGGTTGGTGGGCCAGGCCAGGCTCAGTGGCTGGTCATCCTCCTCCTCCACTGCCTCCGTGGTCTGTGACAAAAACAAGGGGCAGCAAACCAGGTGAACAACAACGAGGTGCACTGGACACAATCGACAAAGCAACAGAGTGAAAAGCGCTGGGCTTCACCACAGCCACTTCCCCCAGGAACTCCGATTTGTGTTCTGGTCTGACAGAGGACCCCGACTGTTTGCCCCAGAAGCAAGCCAAGGCACTTGGGAGCCCGTTCAGAACTGCCTTTTCTCTCTGGAACATTCTTGAATGTCTCACTTGTCTCAACCAGTTGTTCAATTAGAATGGCCTAAGGCACGGAGAGTGAGCTTTTGATGAGGACTTGCTCGGCAGAGCAGAAGACTCCAGTCATTGAACAAGTCCCCCACCCCAATCCATGCCCTGGCTTCCCTTCCCACTCAGGATGAAACTCTGGGATTCCTGCATCCGGGGGGAGGGAGTCTGAGCGGACCAACGACCCTAGGGGCCCAAGGAGAGAACGCCATCACCTCACTCCTGGATGACCCAGCAACTGCGAGCTGCTGACCTGCGGAACCCCTCTGTCCATTCGAAACCATTTTGCCTGCAAACCGAGGCTTAGGCACATCCCTGCCTCCATCTGCCGCCAGCCGCAGGTGGAGAAAGGGGGTCAGACACATTGCTGGTCGGTGGGTCTCATCGGCGCAGGGCCAGGGGTCAGGGTGTCAACGTGGGTGCATTCCACTTGGCAGGGAGAGGCGGGTGTGGACATGGCTCCGAGGCCCTCAAGCTGGCCAACACAGGAGGGTCTGGGGCTGGAGGATGGCCATTACCTCTCCGAGGGGCCCTCCAGTCGCCCAAACAGTCCCGCGGGACAGCAGCAGTCACCCCCGCCCCTGCTTGTGGGGAGGAAAAGCGCAGCAGCGGGCCAGGCATCAGATCTAAAAATACCACCAGGCGCGTTTCCGCGGCTGCATCCTTCTGAGACCGTATAAATAACAGCGCGGGCCTCACGAAGTGCCAGCCCCCCTGTGGCTCTCTCGCTTCCAGCCTGCTCATTATTTCCGGCAGCGGACGCTGACCCCCCCCACCCCACCCTGAGGTGACAGAAGGGGCAGGCTCAGGCTGGTGGAGGTCAAAAAGGACTCAGTAGAGGTCAGGCAGGAGTCTCGCCTGCTAATGGAAAGGTGGGTGGTAGAACCCACCGGGGAGGGGGGGGGGTCCCAAAGCAAAGAGGTGACAGTCTGCTCCCTCCGAGATCTCAGTCTAAGAAACTCGATGGGGCCAAGTCTACTCGGTCAGAGGCACACAGCAAGAACGACCAGTCAGCCACCCTTGAACTCTGCAAAGTAAGAAAGGAATCCTACACTTGGCTGGCAAAGGTTGGTAACATCAGTTCTTCCTCCTCGGGGCTGTGCACGTGGCTGTGGATGAGAGGGTCTGTAAGCAACGAATGAGGGAGTTAGGGGGGTCGGGGGTGGGGTGGGGTGCTCTCTGTCGTCCTGGAGTTCATTCCGACGCGGGCAGCCCCACCGTGGCACTTGCTTGACCCTGATCCCAAGGGGAGCACATTGCCAACCTTTGCCTCCCGGAAATGCCTGAGCGGATTCCAAGCACCAACCGTGAGGTTCTGGTCCATCAGAAATAGGGCCATCTGGGGACCTAGGGGAGTACATACTGGGCAGAATTGGGGAGTTGGTCATGCTTATTTGGGTTCCTGGATCCCCATTCCACCCATTCCTCCACTCCTCACCCTCAGCCAGGTAGCCTATGAACCCATGCTCTCTGTTCCCCATCCTGGGGGACTCGGCCCGGGGGGACGTTGGAGCTTGTGCCACCCCTCCCCCACTCTATCCCCTAGAAAACTCCCATTTCTCTTAGGAGCCATTTCTGCTCCTCTGAGATAGAGCAGATGTGGCTACTCTGGCCTGGCCAGACTCCCAAGGATTCCGCCGGGGTTGTGAGGGAGCTCAGTGTCTCAGTGTTGGGGAAGCCAGTGAGGGTCCAGGAGACACACATGCTTACTGTTCCCTACCAGCTACCCAAAGGAATGACACCCCCCCCCCACCCCAACCCACTGGCCCACTCTGTAGATGCCACTGAAATGGGGAGAATAGAAGCATGGCACTGTCTCCGTGAAGTACCCCATCTCCTACAAGGCAGGCAGTGGGACCCCAGCAGTGGATCCGCCTTCCTGAAGGTCCTCAGGCTGATTGGAAGAGACCCACAAGGCTTGCCATGCATCTAGAAACTGCCCCCCTCACACTTGCAAACCCCACTGCCATCCACAATCTAGCAACATCCCTAGAAACGTCCCTATGGACCTTTTATTATTTTATTTTTGAGCAAAAACTAAAGCAACTCTTTATGACTCATATAATTTTAATGACACCCACAGATGGTGACATTTCATCAATAACCCTCTGCTTATAACCTACGGATTAGCTCCTTTCTCCATCTGCCAAAGCCACCAGGCAGGCAGCGCTACTAGCAAAGAGCAGAAAATAATTGTCTGTTTAGATGCATAAGCTCCAAACACTCTTCTGTCCAATGCAAACAATTAGCTATTTTGTACAGCTTCCAAGAGCTTCATGTGCACTGGCCGTTGCTAGGGCAGAGAGGAGAGGAGGCTGTCTTTCAGGCAGTGCAAACAGTGCTCTCCATGTGGACTTCACAGCCTCTTGGGAGATCAGGTCTTGGGACAGGAGCCCAGAATCCTGGGGTGGATTCAAGAGGTGTCCCGGGCACCAGGCTGCGAGGAGATTTTAGGGGAAATTCTCTTTGTCCGCTTGCCAAGTGAAATCTCACTCTGGTTCAATGGACGACAGCTTGCAAGCTGGTTAGAGAAGTGGGGAAGACAATGTCTTTCCAAGTCTAGGCCCCGTTTGCCTTTGTCCAGGCTGGGGCTGATGGCTCCTTCATCAGTCTCAACCCTAAGGGGGGTGGGGGAGAGGCGGGCTGGTGGTATCAAATTGCTGACCTTGGGATTAACAGCCCCACGTGTAAACACTACGTCACCATGGCTCCTTTTGAGCTTCCCAAATTGTGTAAAATGAGGGTCAGTCATTATTGGTTCGAATTCCTATAGTTTCTGGTTCAGTGGTAAGGTTTTTGCTTTCCCTTTGGGAGATCTGGGTTTGATTCCCAGTCAATGCACCTCGTGTCCGGCCACCACCCTACTTTGAAAGTATCTGTGCAACTTCCAGAATGTCTAGATAGCAGAGACTCAGAACCCTGAGTCCTAGTCTGCTCAAATGGATTCCATAAGCCTTAGCATTGCAAGCATTCACGGAGCAGCTCTTAGGTACAAACCACTGTGCTAATTTCTACAACTCTTGCTTTCAGAGAGGCAGAATAAATGGTGCCAGAGAATTTACTATTTATGCCATTACATGGAAGCTGTCTGGAAATATGGCA